CAACGTTGAAAAATGCCCCGGTCCGAAGTGGTTAACCATATGCAGCCAGGGAACCCGGTTTTTGGTACCTTGGGTTTGTATGCATAGCCGGGGTGCCTGAAATCGGACAAAAGAGCTGGGCCTTGTAACAAAACCGTACTTGGAACAAAAGACCCTCTGCTGGGAATTGCCATCATTTTTCAGCTTGCGTTTATCGGAAGTAATCTGTCATTGTTTTGAAACTGTATACCGCTGTTTTCGGCATAGTGCGCCTACGGATTAGCACCGAGGACAGAAGTGCTCCAGCTCCCCATTGATGAGCAATACAGCATCGCTGCATAGTAATCCAGCCGTGTTGGAAAAGATGCCACTGGTATTCACTGGGAACAAAGGAAATTATGTAACACCTCACAATTCTGGGCTCTCTTTACAGGGCGGCAGGTCTGGCTGAAATACTTGGCATCAATAGAGGTTGCCTGTCAGATTAGAATAGCCACCAGACAGTCATTTGTGTGGGTGTAAACGTCCATTAGATGATATTCTGAATTTTGGGAAAAATTTTCAAAACGGAAAATCTCGAAATCGCCTGTATGTAGGCACTGCATTTTTAAAAGCACCTGGCAGGAAATGGTTAAAGGGTCAGTGTAATGAATTTTTCCTTAGACCTAACTGTACTGGACTTTTGTTGGTGAAGCTTATCAAGACGCTGGGCGCATCTCCTGTTTTAAGTCCATTGCGGAGAGCCTGGGACGTTTTTCCTCTCAGCTGCTTTTCCTGAGGCTAGCACTTGCATTTCCTGGCCAAATGCTGCCAAACTGACTAGATAATTTTGCCTCTGCTTGAAAGGTCAGTGATGACAGTCTGAGCTGGTGAAAGCGTCGTTGGAAAACGTGCATCTGGCCCGAGCATGAGGCCATGCTGCATAGGGATACCATGCACACCACATGTGATTTGCTAATTTCACCACAGTGTGGCACATGTGGCAAGTTTCCAATGCATCTTCCTCTCAGTAAATACTGTATTTTCCGGGAAAAAAAATAACAACAATATTTTAGGTTTTTGATTTCAGATCATAAGTTGCCGAGGTCATGTTTGAATTGTTCTCTAGTTTGGCATCTGGGACACACTCTCATGCTTATACATGTAGTTGTGTGGAGCTACTGGATAGCGTTTTCACGCACTAAACCAATCAATTATAGTAACCACACACACGTGTGTCGTGTCAGCACCTGTGCACGCTTCTAATGGCAATTTTCTGAAAATGGGTTTTAGATGCATTAATGGAAGTGGCCTTCTTTCACTGCTTCTTCAAAATGACAGCTTGCCAAACAAAAGAATTTCACTGGGAGTTTCCATAACCATCTTGGAACCCAACCTTTTAGAAAACTGTACATAATAGACTGTACCTTCAACAAACAAAGGCCGTGTCCGAAACGGGCTTTCAGAGCTACGGCTAGGTCTACTGTCTGCGCGTCTCAATGCATTTCCAATGGAGTGAATACCAAGACCTAGCTCTAGACAAGAGATTCGAATGCAGCTTTAGTCTCCTAAGGTGGCATCCTCTGGCTCTCTGTTTTCTGTTGAATGTGTAACCACCTTCGGTAGTTTAGGTGGCTATAACTATCGCCGTGTGGTCCTCCAGCTGGGCATGAACCCATATCCCAAGACAAAAAAGTCAGATTGAAAAATGGCCTCACATGAAATATTTTGCATTGCTGTATTTGCAGAAGCGTTTGTTGTGTGTCAGGGTTATGCACCACCTGTTGGCTACAAACCGAACATGTCGAATCCTCTTCTGGATCAGCATTATGGTAAGTATCCACCTTGTGGCTAGTTCCACAGCCGTTGTGTTTGTAAATATCACTCCAAAGGCAGGCCTAGGAATGTTGACAAATCCAAGCTTGCAGTAAAATTTTGTTCAAAAGATTTACCCAGTCAGTTTTGTGGCTTTTGACTCAAGTTGACTTTTGACAAAGTTGTTGGTTATTTCTAGCCTGGTGTGAATGGTCGAAATTTTCAGTCAAAGTAATGTAACCTCTACAAGCAGTGAATGACAGGTCCATTGAAAAGCCTATGCATCCTCAAAGAGGAGCTTCACCTCTGTTGCCATGTGATAGTTCTGCACAGAAAACAAATCGAAGGCACACTGCGACAGTAAATTGGGTTTTGATTTTGTTTCATCCAGATGTTGATTTCAACAGTCTAGAAGGCCCAAACCGAGTCATTGTTCCATTCCTTGCCTGCGGGGATCTCAGTGCTTACGACTCAGATAAGACATACCCTCTTGAGGTGAGGCGATGGTCACTGATTCGTATCCCACTTGTCAGTACTCTTTCGACAAAATGGACTTAGAGAGTGTAGTGCAATGTACCTGTCCGATTTCAGTAACCTTCAGTTTTGTGTACAGAATGAAGTACTTAGGTAGAAGTAATGAGAATAATTTGGGACATGGAATACCAGAAAGATGCCTGGGAAAGTTTTAAATCTTGGCAGATATCCACCAGTTCTTTGTCCTTTTGTGTCAAAATGGAAACACCAAGCTTCATGTGAAGTTTCTGGGCTGTCAATAGGTCTCAAAATTGCATAATTAAAACATGCAAAGCACGTTATTGGTTTTTGGCACATTTGATGGAAGTGGAAGATATTTGTGCAAACAAGAGCGTAACATCTTTATCTCCGGGTGATTTTTTTTTACCTTAAGCTGGAACCAGGTGCCGGCTACAACTATCATCCTCCCACCCAGTCGCCCATAGATCCGCCCTACAAGGAGGCTTGCTACCTCAAGAAGAATGACCTATTGTCCAAACCAGAAACTGCCGGATCCAGCAAGACCCAACCGGCTAGAACCGGTCCAACTGACACAGGCTGGCCAGAGACATCCAGTCAATCAGACTCTAGCCCCAGGACAGAATCAGAAGAACTCAGTGAACGATTCCAGGAGTGTGAAATTCAGGACTAGCAAGATGAGGCAAGTGGCTCTGGAAACAAGCTAGTAAATTTTTAGAAAAGAAGTATCCACAAAATCTCTGAGCAGTTGAAAAATTGGTTGATGTACAAAGAGACGAAATGTCTCTTCACAACTTCCATGATCTTTCCCCCTCGCCCGAAGTTCTGTAATTTCACCAGAAGATTTTTAGGCTTTTCTGTTAGTTTCATTAGCTTCTTGTATGGTCTTCTATGGCCTCACATGCTCTAATAGGATCAAATAATGTGCCGAAAAATTGAGGTTGGTGATGGGCTTTCACTGACCAAATATGTACTTGAGCACAGATGAGAATAGTATTGATAATGCAAAGTCGTGTTCATAACAAGGAACATCCTCGCTCACAAGTTTTTGTTCTCTGGTTTCCATTACTGACAATACAAGGTACCTGTTATAACAAAGTGATTTCTCAAGGACCTTGTTAAAACAGTGTTCTACTGTGTTTTTGTTTTGTGTAAATACCGAGGTAACATGGAGAATTCCTCCAAACCGTTTAGTACACTGAAGCTCACTTTCTTGGCAATGCTTGTAGAATGACAAAAAAGTTCAAGAATTTTTCAGGGTAGAGCGACTTTTCCAACATGAATGAAAACGGTGAAAATACCGATGTTTCCATTTCTGATATCCTGGCTTCATTTTCTTTTACTCAAATAAAATAGTGTAACCACTAACACAAATCACGTTCAATATTTCAGACATAAAAAAATTATTGAACTATTTCAAATCTTTGAAATCGAATGATCGTCTTCCTGTGTCTCACGTTCCACAGAATAACTGGCAGGGGAAAAAATGGGGTTGGAATGTCTTGATTTTCTGTTCTTTGAAAAATTAAAAGTAACCCTTGATAAATTCAACACTTACTGGGGTCTTTCACTCGAAGTGACAGTCTGATTTTTCTGTGCTTATTAAATGAGGATACCCTTGATCCCCATTTTGGGGGCAAACTCTTAAAAGGGTTGCATACAAACACTTTCCGAGGACATGACACCAAGTGGTCAAACAATTGTTCACTGTCTTTCTACATCACTGCTGTATACTTGAACTCCAGTAATTCATTCTGTGAGGCTAATACTGATGGTAATAAAGCAAATACAAAGTAACACTGCTGTATGACTTTGCTTACATTTTACAAATACCACCTGAGAGATTAAAGCTGCACATATTGGCAGTGTTATATACATCTACATAAATCACTTTAATCTTAACGAGTTGTAGTAAAGCCATATTTGCAATATCTTCTAATCCATTACTGTACAAATTAAATACATGTACTTCCAAATGTGTTATAAAACAGATGCCTGCGAACACGTTACCTGTGACTATTAGAGGATGAACATGTACATGTATAAACAGGTTATAGCGAATGGTGTATGCAGCACCATGTGATGTCTGTGCGTATCTCATGAGTGATTGATACCCTGTCTGTGGGATGCGTGTCTGGTGAGTGATTGATTCCCTGTCTGGGGGAGTTGCGCAGCTGTCAGTACTGTACAGACCCTTTTAGAAGTCGGTCAAAAATGGCACGTCTTCATGGGCCACAGTTGCTGTGGAATAATACCATCCCAAAGTGGTTACAAAGATTACAAAGTAACCACTCGCCTATTGAGGGTTTGCATGTCTACCATCTTGCAGGCCAGTGCTTATGTTTCACAGGGTATCCACAAAGGAGGTTTCCGTATGGAACCAAAGAACTGCCCTGCAAGATGGCTACCATGCAAAACCTCTATTCAGGCAATATTTCTGAACAGCACTGGCAGCTATCATGAGTAAATCAATCACTCCTAGGTTCCTTGTAGTCATCTTTGTCATGGTGCCAGCAACAGCAAGCACAAAGTAAATCATTAAAACGTTTATACATACACATGTACTTGAATCACATATACTAACAACGACAGGAGTGCAGTGCATGCGATTTACAAGCAAAAACTATTTTTTCCTTACACTGTTTTTTTTTGTTGGCACATTTGAAGTGCTTCTCAAATATCATTTTGCACTTTCTGGAAATTTCAGGTTTTAACTCTTATGGGATTCTATAAATCAGGGTTCCATATTTGTTTCTTGACCCTGTCACATCTGACATATGATTTTGTAAGTTCAGAGCACATGACCTAATTACTGAGATTGATGAATTGCATGCAGATTACATGCAAAACAAATAGAAAGAGTTTGATATTTCCTTGTCAAATTACACAGGTCAGGTGTAAAAGGGACACAAAAGTGTCACACTTTGGGACCCCAAATTACTAGAATTAATGCCCGTAAGTCTGTCATTACAAACAAAAAAGTATTACCCTTTCTCTGTTCACCCATCCCCAAATAAATCCATGGGAGATCCACTAACAAATACATTTATCACCTTCCTGAGTCATATCAGCAAACAGTTCCCTTTTTGGGTTTCTTCTTTGCAAAGAGATATCCTGCCTGCACATCATCCTTGGCATACATTGTATGCTATTCGTTTGCTCTCCTCACAGGAAAGAAGAAAGTTACACACAAGCAGCAGTGTGTTCATTAACATTTGCAATTTACAAGCACCAATCAGTCCCCCGTCCCTCATTTTTCAATCACATTAATCTCTGCTTCCACGTTCAGAAGTACTTCTTAAAAATATCTTCTTTCTTGAAATCTAAGCAGTTCAACACTGAAGCAGAACATCAAAAAGGAGCATATCCCTCTTCTGTTGCCCCATGCCTGCTAAATCAATGCATCAATGTTTTACTTTAGAATGTTCTATATTCATGTATGTCAAACCACACCAGGAGTGTAGTTTGAGCATCAGTTTTAACTTTTGTTACTTAACTACTGTACTCCTGTTTTTTCACAAAAAGATATCAAATTAAAGCCATTAGTGAATGTTCAATCATTTTTGACTGACAGTTTACCATGTTTCCTATACCCTTTACTCCGGCACAAACTTTTTTAAACAAAAAATAATGTTTCGTATTATCACTGTTATGCTTGGAGTTCTTTTCCAGAAAACGAGTATCGGTTCAGAAAAGTCTTGCCAAATAATCAGAGGAAGGCGATATCACCAGTGAGAGATCCGAGGGTCTTGGTATGACACGGCTTCCTCTTTTCCTCGTAACATAGGCAAATTAACAGTCTTTCTACACACCTTGTAGCTGTGGACATGTGTGAGTGTGGCTGTGACTTGCCCCTACTCCAAGTCTGTACTACCATTACATGAAGCCCTAGCCATAGCTCTGGCTGTGCCATCGGCTGTGGCTTTGTTCTTCTTGGCTTCCTTTTCGACCTGATATTCCTGACAATTAACCTGGAATGCATAAACAAATTTCGTGACGGATAAAGGGGAGCATATGTGTACGTGCATACATGCAAGCGAATAAAAAAACCAAATAGTTTGGTGTTCCAGGACACAAATAGGCAAGACTTTAGGAAGTTGCGGGGTCTTTGGAAGGCATTTCCCTGATCATTTTTCAATGGTAATCTGTTGACTTTCATGAAATGATGCCTTCAGCTTCAATTTTGAAGAACTGAAGCAGTGGGGAACGCAATCAAAAAATACTGGAGGATTTCAAGAGATTGAGGCTGTACCCAATGTTTGGATGGAGGTGATGGATTCGGTTGGAATGAGGATGCATCCCAGGGAGAAAGACCTGGGAGTTAAGACCTTTGGAGCAAAGATCAGATTTTGGAGTGTATATGGCACTATCGACAATTTCCGCTAAAGATCAAGAATCCATGCAGGTGGGGGGGGGGGAGGTTAGATCAACCTCTTTCTCTCTTCTCATAGTAAAGACCAAAGTCCACTACAAGAAGAGAGAAGCCTGAGAGGACCTGCCCTGCCCAGCGTACCTTGTGACGTCTGACCCAGGCCACCTCCTGACATTTTTTGGAGCAATAAAGGGCCATACAATTAGCACAGCGCTTCAGCTTGAAGCCGTTGGTTTGTCGACACTCGTCGCACCGCTGAACAGGGTCCATGCCCATTATATTCCTGAAACGCATCATCACCTGAACCAAAACCAAATAGACAACTCATGAACTTCACTGCTAAAGCGAACCACCTTTGATCCAATAGAATTATTCAACTTTGAAGGTAGAACCGACTATAAGTTATATGTGCAGATTTTTTGTTTGAAGCATCAAAATTGCTGTAAATCTCAACCAACCTGATGAAGTTTTAGCTCTGGATATATTTATTCAAAATGCAAACGATTTCTGATTAAAGTTGCTGTGTCATGTTTTTCACTTCACTATACAACAAACTACAAATGAGAGGGCACGCTTCACATTTGCATTAAATGCCTTGTTAACCAACAGGGTGTTAAAAATGTGGGTTAACAATGTGTAGAAAGGGTCTACTAAGATTCATTTCAATTTCCAAAACAGATTGGACACAACTTTGGAAATTACCTTCTTTAATAACTGTTTTCTTCAGCATGACAGCATGCCAGACAATGCTAGACAACAGAACTTCATGGTGCATTGAGTGCCATTCTTGTCTCTGGGGCAAGTACTATTTTCACTGTAATTTGGCTCCTCTTTGGACAATTTCAAATGGTGTTACTGTATCTTCAACCATTCTACCATGTCTACTGAGTTTTTGTAACAATTCTTGGGTTGAGGAAATGAAATGGGTCAACAGCCTCTCCTGAGAACTGTTTAAACTCCTAACCTCCATCGGAACGATATCATTTCACAAGGTGTCTTCAAATCTGTAACAAAGTCCTTTTGGACCTCACCTTATCAAGATGAGCTTTAAACGTCTCCGATGGCTGATTTATCTGACATTCGCCAGCATCCTGGACAGCCCGGAAGTATTTCCCCAATTCAAAGAGGGCCTTAGAGCGACGGAACATTGCTTTCAGTCTAATAGTGTCAGCCAAGGTGGGGTCCTCAGGACAGGTGCCTCAACAAAGGGAAATGGCAAAACATCTTAATTGTTTTTGTAGATATTTTCACCAAGATAAGAAATCTGTCTTGTTTCCAGACTGAAGCTGCAATGTACATAGAGAATGAAGTCATGACTTGTTCTTGCAGCAAAGTTGTCACTTTCTGAATAGTATGAAAATTTATTTATGGAAAGAATTATTTTTCCAAAATTTCAAGAAGAAACAGAAAAGCGTTCAGGTTTGAAAACTACATACATGAGTTCGCTTTCTATGTACTTAAGAGACCCAACATTTTAGTAATCATTTAACTACAAAGTTCTCCTGTCTGCTGTCTTTTGGTTATTCATTTACTACTCAGTATTGCATCTGTGTTCTAGCCAAAATTTCCTGTGACATTTATGCCAATTTCTGGGACTTTAAAGTCACAGTTGTGAGAACAATTAAGCCCATGGTTAGTTAAAGTAAAGGAAGGAATAATGTTGGGTCCAAGACAAGTGTAAATTGGGTCAGAGTTGGGTTGATACGTTGACTGCCGCCCATAAATTCAAAGGGAGGTTCCCATTGGCCAAGTGTTGTACGCATGCAAGCATATTTAACAGTTACCTTTCAGGTGTTTGTTTGAACATGAGCGTTTTACAGATGTATGCCCTCCACACTGCCAGCAGCGTATTTGCTGCATTGTTCAGTGATGCCAATGTATTCAATTTACATTACAACAGCCTTTCATTTCCTACAAGTATACTTGAAGTGGAGGAATGCACTCCACTCGTTCACCTGTTACTACGAGTACACTCATAGTCGGCAGTACACATGTTAAAAACTATTCCCTAAATCAGGTTAAACTGGGTACCGGATGAGTCCAAATTGGGTCAAAGATGTGCAGTTACAAAATATTTGGCCCATTATACAAAGCAGGTCAAACTTTTTCCAGGATGGGCAAAAATCAATCCACAACCACCAAGGTACTGACCTCCAAAACAGCGTGCAATAGCTTCATCACAGTCCTCCACTGCTAATTCATATTCCCCAACATTCAGATAACACTGTGCACGATTACTGAATAAGGTAGCTGGAAGAGAAGACCTGACATCAAAAAAAAAAAAAAAAAACCAGAAAAGATGTTGGCGATGGTTAATAGTCAATCTGATAAAGAGAAGTTGTTGATAAGCACATTTTTAACCACTTGCTGCCGGGTACTTTTAAAAAGCAGTGCACACATACGGAAGATTTTCAGTGTTTAAAATTCTTCAAAAATTCATCATTTCATTTAATGGACATTTACACCCGCACGAATGACTGTTTGGTGGCTACTCTAAGCTGACAGGCAACCTTCATTGACTCCTGAGTATTTCAGCTAGGCTTGCTGCCCTGTAAAGAGAGCCCAGAAATGTGAGGTGTTGCGTAATTTCTTTTGTGCCCAGTGAATGCAACTGGTGTCTTTTCAAACTCGGCTGGATTAGCATGCAGCGGTGCTATGTCGCTCATCAATGGGGCCCTGGAGTACTTTTGTTCGTGGTGCTAATCCGTGGGCACGCTATGCCCAAAACAGTGGTATAATGTTTAAAAACAGTGATGGATTACCTTCGAAAAATGCAAGCCGAAAAATGATGGCAATTCCTAGCAGGAGGTCTTTTGTTCCAAGTACCGTCTTTTGTAACACGGACCAGCTCTTTTGTCCCATTTTGGGCACCCCGGCTCTGCGTATAAACCAAGGGTGCTCGAAACAGGGTTCCCTGGCAGCAAGTGGTTAACCACTTCCTGCCGGTAGCAGTTATAAATGTTGATGATGTTGGGACGGGATAATTATCATATTTTTCTATTTTCAAAATTCTTTAAAAATTCATACGTTCATTTACTGGACACTTACACCCACATGAAGGACTGTCTGGTTCTACTCTAATCGGACAGACAACATCTATTGACGCTGGAGTATTTCAGCCAGGCCTGCTGCCTTGTAAAAAAGAGCCCAGATTGTGTGGTGTTACGTAATTTTCTTTTGTTCACGAACCTGGCACAGTGCGCTGTTGACCTCTTTTCAATAGGGGCCAAATTAGTGTGCAGCGGTACTGTGTGGCTCATTGCCGCGGTGGTGGAGTGCTTTTGTCCCCGGTGGTTATCTAGTCGCGTTAAACCGTGGTATACTGTTTGAAAACAAGGCTGGATTATCTCCACTATTGAAAGTGAAAAAATGTCGGTAATGCCCAGCAGCCTGGTCTTTTGTTACAAGTACGGTCTTTTGTTACAAGGCCGAGTTCCCATTGTCTGGTTTCAGAGACCCCGGCCACGTGTATAAAGAATACGTGTCCGGTACCAGCAACCCCGGCAGCAAGTGGTTAGCACCCAAGTACCACTGAATAACTTGCAATTTTGAAATGATTGTTTATCATAAAATTGTTTTTAATCAACAGACAGCATTTCAAGACACAATAATATTCACTGCAAGTGTTTTGAAGTTGGTACTGGAATGGTCTAGCAGGATGAGTTTTCAGCTAATCGACACTTAACACTTAACCACAACAGGAAAAAGTCTAAAACATAAAGTGTGCTATACTACATTCACCAAACTGAAGCTGACGACAGACACAAAGGTCTGAGGAGGGAAACAAGTCCAGACATCAATGCCTGCATCCTTCTCACCATTGCGGCATGGCGCCTAATAAGAAATTGGGGGCAGTCTTAACCGGAATGCTGGGAGGGCAGACGTTGAGGGCCCGCGTATACAGCTTAATAGCCTCCTGTATCTCGCCACTTTTGTACATTTCGTTGCCGCCTTCTTTCAGCTGGGTGGCCTTGCCGCTATCCAGCGTCTGGTTCCGCATCTTCCGGAACTCCTTCTGGGCTTTATCAAACTCTCTGCGAGCAGCAAAGGATGAAGGATGGAGAAAATTATAGACAGGAACCCCATCCACGGGTGCAAGGATAATCCCAAAAAGCCAACGACTGGTGTTAGTGTAAGGTATGTCCATGAATTTAACTATTAAAGCCCATCTCCCTACTGATTATTAAGCCATTCTAAATCATTCCAAATCCACTGTGCAGAAAACTGATGGCACAGAACTCTCAAGGGGCATTGAGCCCCAAAGCAGTGATGAATTTATGCCTCTTCAATCCTGCATAAGGCTTAAAAAAAATCTTGTGAATTTGAAGAAATATGAGGTCTGGGTTAACACAAGATGTTTTGAGGAACAAATTGCAGGTTCTCGTCTGGTTTGCAAGCTCAAACTACGCTGTATTAGAATGTGGTGAAATAATGGGAGACCAACCTATTTCAAGCACATTTCAACAGCGCAAGAACCCCAGGAAACAATCAACACTCTACGCAGTAATTCCAAAGTGGCCTGCTGAAGACAGGCAAGGAAGTTCACAGACATTAATTGTACACGTACTTTGAACTTGAGATGCACAATCCCATGGCATTTACAGACAGGTGCAAACTACATATATGCAGTAGTCTGACCAATGCATGCACAGTGAAGTCACACTCAAACGACCCTAGTCAAACTACACGTACGTCATATGCTCTCGTCGTCACTCAAATGACCCATGACGACTCCCACAGTTATTTTCATGCGAGTGGTTCCCTCCGTACTGATAATGCAATGGACTGCTGATAACCAGAGGTGCGACCATGCCCAAGGCTAGGTACCAACCTTCCATCATTCAGGCAACATCAGTCAATCTATGGTTAACTACAGTTGTCACTCGAACTTGCTCAATGCTGTGCAGCGGCTGAATACATTTCCATAGTATGAATTGGTTTTTATTTCACACTTGGTCATTAGTCGGAGGACTATGACACAGTAACATTTTTGTTCAAGTTCTTCACCAGGAGTACACTTTCTTCGCTGTAAGTGTGAGTCCATAAAACAAGGACTCAAATACAAGTCACTATCCTTGCACAGCAGGACCACACACGCATATGATGAAGGGCAGAGTGGAATCAAAAAGTTCATTATGTTTAATATGAAATTGATGGATCCCTAACTTGGCAGACTTAAATCTACTCTAGTACAATATCCCGGCAGGTGCCAATCTCAACCCCTTTTTATCAATCACTGAAAAATGAATCAGCGATTCTTTCAGAAACTTGTGCATTCTGAGCCACACTTGCCAGTGCTGCAGTCCCATTGGCACGAATCGTAATACGACATTCTCATACGACATCCTCTCAAACAGATGCCAAACACAAAACAAACTCACTTTCTGCCATAGCGTCTACAACCCGCTTGAAGCTCATCTATTTTAATGCCAATTTTAGGCGTCTGCAAAAGAAAATGGATAGCAAATGAACATACATTTAAATGCACAAATGCTATTAAAATACAAACCATTGTCATTACTAAAATTACTAGTGAGTAAGGAGATCCAAGATTAATTGTTCAAATCCATATTTGACAGAAGATCCATTGACGGAACATCACATTACATGACTGCCCAATAAAATTCAATAGATGGATATTTCATTTAAACTCTTTGACTTCCCCGCATCCATTTCAAAATAAAAGGTTCTAGATCTGTGGGTGGTAAGAAGTTACCTACCTTACTGAAAAAGTAACTAGGATAATGGTAGAAGTGTTTTGGTCCAAAATATTTTATGATGTACTCCACGCCGGGGTTATCCACCGCTAAAGCCAAAAGAGCCGTCGCATAGATATTAATGTTGATATCTAGACTGTACATATGAATGGCCGCCGCTCGCATGATTTTCTACAAATCAAAGTGCAGATTGGACAAAAGAAACTGGTTAGGCGTCAGGCTACCTCGAGATCTTTGGGGAGCTACCAAACGGGAAGGGGGCTATGAGACCTATTCTAGAGAGATGGCATGTACACCCTCAGGTTCTGAAGTGCAAATGGCCTTACTCGCACACGAGGCGAATTGTCAACTGCATGTTTACCAAGGTGGATCATCCTCCCATTGCCATAAACCCTTGCAGGAGTAGACCCACATTGGCAATGGCAATGGCCCTGTAACGTTTGTTAGAGTAATGTTCTGCATTTTCTGCTTGAAGCGAGTGCAGACAAAAATCAAGGAAGGTAGTATCACATTATTTTGCACCAATGACATCCAGTGAGAATTAATAGATAGGAAATAGGCAAATTCCAGGGGAAAAAAAGGGCGACATGGCCATACTAATGTTGAAGGTTTTACCGGATTCTCTACAATTCTTTTTATAAGCAGCCCACGGTGCATGGCAATGCGGGTGGCTACTTCAAAGTAGTGCCACACCACATCTGCTTCTGGGTAGTAAACCCCATTCTCCAGCAGTGGCATGAACCCGTGCTCGTCAAGAAGCTTCCAGGCAAAGGATTCCTCGTATGCCATCTCAGCCAGCACCTTGACGCAGGCTTCCAGCATGTAACGATTCTCGGGAGAAAGGACCGGCATGCGTACCCAACGACCAATTGCCTGGGGAAGAAAAAGGAAAAAAAACAAAAACCCAAACAACCTGACCACTGAACTGACCTCACTTTGGCCTTGCTTCACTTTGAGCACCTTAATGTTAACAAATGGAGAGACTGACAACACAGTACTGAAGTACTAATGATGTAACTTCAGTCTTTGTTTCAATGAAGAGAATTTGTCTTTCAGGAAAAAGTTAATGGCAGAAATCCATGTCACTCCAATAATTCCAGCTATCTTGTCTGAAACGCAGTCATCATTAGTGACTTCCTTACAGGAAGAATTCATAGCAAAATGCTGTACCGTACAGGTCAGAATTTTAGCCGACACGCTAAGTTACACGATCAGTGAGCCTGTCACACTGTTCAATGCACGCTTTGCGGTTGTTACTGTGCATTGCTGGTCCAATGCACGATAAGCCTGACCCCAGACCTCATTATCTCGGCAGGGTTTTATGATCGCAGACCGCAAAGGTGACCGACAACGTGTACGCTGCACACGAAGGGCTGTCGGTCCAGCTTCGTGTATGCATGTACACTGTACATGTACATGCATGAATACATGTACTCTACAAATGTACATGTGTAGCAGTGCACTGAATAAATGAAATCACGTATATGCAGGGCCTGGCTGGCAAGATGACTGTCTTTAAAGTATCAAAATATGTATGATATAGCAGTTTTCTTTTAGTTTTGGATTGCGAACGTGATTCAGTCGGATTACATCTGGAAAATGTCAAATTTCACTGAAACTGGCCAGTTGTCCACCGTGTGTATTTAGATACTACAAAACTTTTTCCCAAATATAAGGCTTTTAAGCTTTGAATTTTAAACTCACAGGATGGACTGGAGTAATGACGCCGCTTTTCTTGTCTTGATGTAAATACTAGATCGGTTTTAAGCAATTCCCGGTTGCAAGAAACTTTTTCACAAATAAACAGTAACCACGAAAGAAATCCATTCCTCAGCCAGAACTATTGCAACAAACTGATTTTACAATGAAGTACAGCGTTATATTTCTTAATTTATGGAAATTTAGTTCCTGTGTCAAAATTCCAATAAATAAAAAAAAAAACCCACTCAACTTGCATAAATTTTACTTGACTTTTTCATTTGCTGCCACACACCAACAGACGTGTCGCGATTATGCCATGACCAAGTAATCACGAAACTACAATCACCCCAGCAGTTTCATCCCAATCACCAATCACAAATCGAAACGAGTGTATTGCATATTCATTTGATACAGCGCCAACAAATGCAAAGCTACAGCCCTTTTACGTCACACGACATGCATATTTATGAAGCTCAAACGAGTGCTACTTTGATCCTTGTGTGCAGCTGGTGCATGCTCATCGTACAATCTTTGCCGTTTAGTTTGGCGTAATTTTGTCACAATCAGAGCGATTTCTTTTGGTAGATTTTCCAGCTCCAAGATCGCAAACTGATGGGAAAAATCCCCACCTCACATCGAGTGTGGCAACAACTTTCTGTGTATGCTGGGATTGCTGCCGTGGGGGCTGTCTTGACTAAAATTTGGCTAGCGGACCAGCGAGGTCAAATCCCCCTTATATTTTGTGGATTTCTTACAGATTAGTTTTCTCTAATTTAGGAAATGCTTTGTCATAAAAACTGCTAGTTATAGTTTTATCGGTTAAAAACTTGATTTCACGCTCAAATATTTTCTGTGCCCGATTCACATGTTTTGGGAGCAATTCAGACATTTTCCAAAAGTATTGCCTGCATGGCACTTTCATCGATCCTGTATGGCCTAACAAAAGGCTTTATCTTCGAAAATGATTTAGTGATGCCTGCTACATACAAGGTAAACTACTGACCACATTTCCCTGGAATTTGAAGATAACTTGAGCTGCAGTCAAATTGAATACTTTTCATTGTGGGAAACTAGGAAAATGACTGCTCCGGTCAACAAAGGTCTGACTGTTCTGGGGTTTGCGTGTAGCGTGTGCAAGTTTATACTCGGCAGAATGGATTGCGGTGCCGGCATTCTCTGTTGTGCAGGGTTCAGCGTGTTTCGTGTTTGCGGTTTACTCCTTTCATGTCTGTTTGACTCGATACACGCTAAGCATGTTTGCATGTCGGCTAAAATTCTCACCTGTACTGTACTCCTAAATTTAGTCTGGAAATAGCGACATCAGCTCACCTTTCCAACAAACTGATCCTTTACCACGACTGCTCTCACTTGCTTGTGTTTGGCCAACTGTTGTTAATAAGAAAGCAAAACAGAAATGACATTACAAATCAATTTGGATAGAAAATACAAAAAAGAAAAAATGACCCATGACATAAAAAGCGCCTTTCCATAAGCATGTCAGCACTTGCACCAAGCACTGTGTATCCCTCAAAATTGCCCCGGGAACTAATTTGATGGCTGAACGCAGTGCACACGTGTGACACGTTAATGAAGTTGATTTTTGTACCCACGAAAGTAAAACGCATGAATGCATCGTGCACGCAATGCACCCTAAAAACGTGCATATGGAAAGGCATCTCAAGCCACACACACTGCTTCTGAACAGCCAACCAAGTTTTTGTAACAAGTGTTTACAAATTCCAAACAAAACCAGGACAATCTTTACCTTCATGGGTAATAACCGACAATCTCCAGGTAATCCTGGATAGAGACACTGCTATAATTGTGCTATTGGCATTTCTCAGAAACATATCAGGATAAAGTGGACCCAGATTCTGTCTGTCTTACATTGCTATACACAGACTAGATCGTATGCGCAAGTCTAACGTGGTACTGTAAGACCACACCACTATAATGTGCTGAAAAACTCAATGCCAATATTTTGTAATATGAGCATGTGTGAGATGTTTTCTCATGAACATGTGGGAATTTACTACTGAATATGCATGAGTGTTTGCATCAGTGTTGTAGTTGAGACCATTGATCACAAGACCGCACAAGCCCAACACAAGCCCTCCAGTCTGAATTCAAGTCACAAGCTTTTCAAATGAACCCCTACAAAAGCGATCCTTTGTCATTGTTCACGCTCTTGTGTAAGGTCTTGTGCATGGTGAT